TAATTGGAGGAGGTGAAAGAAGTATGATTTCTATGGGACAACATCTTCATTTAGGAAAGCTTGTTTTAAGAGATTTGAGAAGATCATAATTGTCTAAACCAGACATGTTTTGGGAGATATTCAAGATAGTTGATTTAAAGTCCTTAATATAACACCCAATATGAAATATTAAGGCTAGGACCCAACACAATACTTTTATAACATGGAAGAGTACCGTAGTCCAAGCTATAAAATACTTGAAGGTAGACGAATGACGATTCACCAATTTCCACAATGAAAAACGAAATATATATTATTAGGATTTAATTGGTTTTTGAAACTCCTAGTTCTTTGAGATTCATTGAACTGTTCAATGGAATGTTTCAATCTCGAGTGTGCCCTTCAGGTTTTGTGACTGGGATGCCGAGGATCACAAAACAATGTGTGAAGTAACCATGCAAATTACATGGTACCCTTAAGTGTTTACCCGTCAATCGATGTGACGGTTAACCACACACGCTCCATCGATACTATGATAAACATTAAGTTACCCTTTGCCTACCTTGTTAAATACAAGTTAGTGTCTCGGTTAACCACACACGCTCCACTAACCGACTTAAACAAAGTGCAAAGTGTAATTTCATGGATTAACACCTTATTTGCTTTTTCTTAAGTAACTAAGATTTGGTATTTATAAAAGGTTTAGTTACTTAGTATTTATCATTAATACTTTTAATGAAGGGAAAATTTTAGTCCTTGTCCTACCCATTCGGCTAACGACCCTCCACCGGTCAAGGAAGCGGTGGGTGAGAGTGGACACCCATTGAACTGCCATTTTATAGCCAGTAACCTTATACCCCCTTATAGACCGGCTTAATGAATGAGGTCTACTAACGGTAAGAATGACTTTGTTGTTATAAATATATATATATATATATATATATATATATATATATATATATATATATATATATATATATATATAAGTATTAACTATTAATATTATAATAGTATAAGGATGTATTTTAAACATTTAAAATACTTGGTAGTTTAATCTATTAATTAAACTATACTCTTAATTTAATTAAACTTAAACCATGTCTTTATGGAATTGTTAACTCTTTTAGTTAGACAATTTAGTTAATTTAATGAAGTCCATAAAGTTTGAACTTTAACTTTTAAAATTCTTGGGCTTGGAATTAAAGTGTATATGGGGTTTGAATTTACAAATTCCAAAACTGGAGGACAAGTTTTAAACAATTCAAAAACTTATGGTTTCCATAACTTATGAATTTTAAAACTGGTTTAATGGAAAAAACCCTTCAAGTTCCATAACTTGTAGACAAGTTATGTAAGACTTTAAAAGCATTAAAAAATGTGACTCTTCATTTTTTTCATAACTTATGGAAATTTTATGAGTTTTAAAATTCATAAATGTGACTTTTCATGTAACTTGAGGACAAGTTACAAAAGCACATATTATGAACAACTTCAAGATTAATTTGGATTGAAAACAACTATCTCATAATTTTTCCTATTAATCTAAATAAACTCATAAACATGAACATTCATAATCAACATTTTTCAAGCATCAAATAAACATGTATAAAACTTGAAACTTTGATTATTATCCTTTATTTGGATAAGAATAAATATTACCATAGTATCAAAAAACAAAGTTTATGAACAAAAACACTTTGCGGTAATGATTTTAATCCAAAACAGACCAAAAAAACTCGAAGATAAGCTGTCAGGGGGTCCAACTCGTCGAGTGCGTGAACCAACTCGACGAGTTGGATGAATTTGTTCATGGACTCGTCGAGTCCATCACTGGACTCGTCGAGTCTGCTATCCCGATAGCAAAAAATTTGATTTTTTTCAGTTTTTTTCAGCAACTTGCATCAAGTATAACTGAAAACAACTCATGTGTCTGATACCACTATTGGGTTTTAGTATACTACAACATCCTATGGTGTACATACAACCCTATATACCTTGGATCTATGTTTTCACTAATTATGCATGCAAATGGTTTCTAAGGTATTAATCTTACAACTAGCATGCATTTAACATAAAAAAATATAATATACTAGTTAGCATGACATACCTTTTGATGGAGCTTAAATTCTTGGTGCATTTGGCCTTAAAGAGCTTAGCCCCAATAGTGTGGAAGTCTCAAATGGAATCACAACACACCATGGACAAAGGATGAAATTGAGAGAGAATTCCATGCACACAAAAGACACCATGAACTCTAAAAAGATAGAAGTCGCGATTTTGGGCAATGAAGTATCTATTTATATGTGGGATTTCTAGGGTCTTGGATATAACCCAAATCCATACCCATGGGTTTTATGATCCATGTTTCATGTGGCCCAACTCTTTATGTATCCATACATAAACTTGGTCCAACATGGATCATAAGCCCAACACATATAAATATAACTAATTATCATAATTAGTCCCCATAGATTTAATTAGTCTCTTTCGACCATTAAATTAATTCGAAATTAATTCTTGATTAATACTAATTAAAACATATGATTTCATATTAATATATTGTAACTTATAATATATTAATAAATCATATATAACCTCTTCTCTCAAAAGTCCATCCTAACAAATTGTCCTGATGATATGCAACCCAAAAGGACCATGCTACTCTCGGGTGGAATACATACCAATAATAGTTATGGGCTTAGACACCTAATCCAATAGAAACAACTTCACAGTGAAGAAAAATACTTGTTTTCACTGTGGAAAACCTGGACACATTGCCAAAAATAGTCCTAATCGCGACTACGTTCCATACTATGCACGAGGTTGGTAGAACGCACCAAGAAGGAGATACATTAAAAGAAACCCCTCAAGGTCACGTTCAGACAATGGTGACTGGAATGTCAACAAGGCCAAAAATCCAACTCCCAAGACCAAGAATCAAAATCCCAAACTTCAGAAGGGAATGCCGGCCAAGAAGTCCATTCCAAGAGATGCTCCAGCGAAACCAAGACCAGCTAGATCAAAGTCATCTCGACGATCGGCTTCAAATTCAAAAGCAAGTACCGAGGCATCCATCGGATTGAAAAACAAATGGGTTAAACTCGACTACAGATGGGTTCCAAAGGTTCACTCTCCCAAATCTCCTAATGCTTCAAATATTTCTACATATTCTGTTTGTGATAAGCAGGATATGTCATGGGAGAGAGTATCGTGCAAGGATGAAAAAGGTCGACCCATTTTCAAAATGGATTGGGTTCCGAAGACCAACTGATCCCGCTGTGTGTCGGAGCAGCTATGGAGGCATATCATTAGATTTTAGTTTGTTGATAGTGGCTGTTCCAGGCACATGATAGGAGGCATCTCTCAACTGTGCAACACTCAGAAGTTTGTTTGAGAGTATGTGTCGTTTGTGGGAAAGGAAGAAAGGAAGGGATCACACATGGGGTTAGTGCTTAATGACATGAAGAATTTTCGTATCTGCTCTGAGATTATGCATGTTGTTCTCAGACCTTCTGGATTCAAATTAAATCGGTGAATTACGGTTTGAGTTTTCTTCTTGATACGCATGAGTTTATTTTACACTGATTCATTTTGAAGTTAATCTTTTATTTTCTTATATTGTTCGTTAGTAGGTATTATTGGGAGGTGATATCAACAAGTGATAATGGGCAATCTGAGTTTGTGTAAAGTACCAAAGCTGAACTGTCTAGGCTCTGTGTTCGATCCGCTGGTAGGCATGAAGGATTTAAATGGACTTGACTAGGCAAAGATGAACTTAAGAAATCAAATGAATTGACAAATCTTGAACTAGATAGATCCGTTTAGCCTGACAATACGACACTTAGATATGTAGAGTAGGGAGATAGAAATGACAATCCACCAGTCACACTAAAGAACCCATATCTAGAACTGTGGTTTTACTTTTCCTCGATGTAGGGATTCTGTCTTTAATTTCGGTATTGACAAAGCGACAGGGGAATTCCGATAAACTAGGTCTATAGAAGATTATTTTCTTTCTTTCTTACCGTTAGTCATATGTTTCCTCTTCTACGTGGCTGGAAGAGATCCGACCTGGACTGCAACATATGCAAATCTATTTCTCTACATGTTATATCTATGAAATTCTGCCTATCTGTTAGCCATATGTTTTCTCCTTTGTGTGATTAACAATCCGACATGGTACATAGCATATGCAACCTTCTACTTCTCAATCCCTCTAAAACTATAATTAATTATCATCTAAATCTATCTTCTCTATGAATAATAGTCTGCTCACCTAAAGTAAGGAGTATCTCAGAAGTTGTTGATTATTGGGGTATATCAGGAAGTGGGAAACGTGTTCTAGTACATCTAAAATTGAACAATTCTAGATTGTCTGTAGATCTCGCTACTCAATTTAGGTGGACAACAATATCCTTGGTTGTTGTCAGATGAATGGTGCTTAGGAAGTTTTATCTAGGAACAAAGGATCAATTAGTCTTGTCACTTATAGCATGTCTAATTTTTGTCACAATTTTTCATGCCTAAGTGGACCACAATACTGGTGATCAACCAAATTTATTCATGAAAGGGTAGTACTGAAAAATAAAAAAATGATTCTCTAACAACTTTGATCCCACATCACAAAAGGTTAATCAATTTCAAGTTAGAGGATTAAATTTAGTTTAAACTTAAATGTTTTATTATCCTTTTAGTTGATTTGATTTGATTTCATTTCATTTCATTTCATTTAATCCACAAAATGATTTATTTTTAAATTTTTTGTGTATTGGGCTTGTGATTTTAATGGAAAATGAAAGGCCAAGTGAGAAATATATGAAAAGTGGTGTGCAGTTCATTCAAAATCATTGTTTATCTTTCTTTAAAGATCAACCGCACTCATCTCTCGTTTTTTCTCTCTCTAAAAACATTCAAATCCATCATTTTTCCAGAAATTGAAGCTTGATAACCGTCAAAACTGCTAAATCGACACCCATAATATGATTCTTATGCAAAATCGATCATGAAATGGTCTTTAATCAATGGCTTTCGTTTCTGACTGTGTGTGTGCGGCTGCACAACCCTTTGTGCGGATGGTGATGTGTGCGGCTGCACACATCCTCGTATGCGGTTGGCCATTAATAGTTGGAAGACTTGTATGGCTATACACTGTGTGCGGCTGGATATTGGTGTATGGTTGTATACCTATGATTAACAAATTTCTTAAAAAATAATAAATGAAAATATCTTATTATTAAATGTTCTAATGAATACTTGTGTTTTTCAGGTCAACATGGGAGATCTTGAGTTTGCAAAGGTGCACAATTCAACCATGTTTCTAGAAGATCCTTCGGCTGCTCACAATGATCTCAAATTCATCATTGATGGTTTAAGAAAATGCTGCCTCGTTTCTGCTTTCACGATTGGTCTGGTGATTTATCAAAGCTTGATCAAGGAATTTTGGAGAAGCGCAATTGTTAAGAAAGATGACAATGAAGATAAATATCTTGAGGCAACTGTACAAGGCAAGAATATCATGACCAAAGAACATGTCATTCAAGAATCGCTGCACATAATTGACATACCTGAATTCTCAATGCAAATTGATACGGAACAAACCCAAGAAGTCCTGGATCATATTGTCACACCCCAAAACCACGAACGGCGGAAACGTTCAGGGGTGGAGGACGTCATGTACAATATCACAACAGTTTAATATAATAAACAAGCAACAACATCATCCATTGCATTATAAGTAAACTTTTAATACATGTTTGTTTCCTTCATTGTAGTAAGACACCAAAAATATACAATCAATATAAAAGACGAGACTTGTCTGCTCCGTCTTCTCAAAACCCTGGCCTCCGTACCTGTCTACTAATGACCTGAGAATACAAGTTATTTTGAAAGCGAGTATCCGCTTTAAAGCTGGTGAATTCATAAGTATATATAACTGTCATTGCCTTGTTTGTGAAAATCTATTATAAAGGCCATGTAAATCGTTAAATGAAACTGTTGATGTACGTATGAAAACCCTAGAGAAACCCTTATTTTCTATGAGTATGAAATGTAGTCTTCTACCAAGACCCGAATGTTCTGTACGTATGAAGTGTGGTCTTCTACCAAGACCCGAATGTTTTGTAAGTAAAATTATAGTTTTCCTTTAATTGTTTAGTACTAAAGTACTTAGTCTAACTCATCGTTTATGTGAAAGAATCACAAAATAAAGCAAACAGGAAAATGTACTACTGTAAGTGTTGTCATTGGGTACTAGGACCAACACATCATATGTAACTGTTATCCCAAGGTACTAGGGTTAACACAACCTATATAACCTAATGAACATCCGAAGATTGTCCAATTGTCCTCTGTAGCAGTAGCAGGGGGAAGGAAGGGTTAGTCCCTTTAAAGGTACTCCTAATATAAGTAATAACCGTAGGCATCCGTAGATGTTCATCACCCACTGTTGCTAACAGATGGGTTCCAGAATGGTTAGTCCTGTACGTATATCCCAAGGTACTGTGGGATAGAGGCCCATCTAGGCATCCCGAGGTACTGGGGATAGGGTCCTGTCTAGATATCCCGAGGTACTAAGGATATGCAGGAAGATTTAAACAGAAGGTACTAATAAATCATCCTCGCAATTCGAGATACAAGTATTCATGTAAATGTACATAATTAAGTGTATCTACGTGAAGGTACTCATGTAATGCGTTCATGTACGCGTATTCATGTATCATGTAAGTATATGTAAACGTACTCATGTATCATGTAATCAAATGTAAAGGTACTCATGTATCAGGTAATGTTCTGGTATAGACTTATGAATGAACTGACTCTTGTGTGATTCCCTTTAATAGGAATTATGTTTGATATCTCCAAATTATCCCTATGATAGTTTGATGGAAGGTAATTGGTTATTCAAGTAGGTTTATACACTCTTACTACTCAAGGGTGTGAGAAACTAAATGAAAACTGTAAACTATAACATTCATACATATATAAGAATATAAGTGTACATGCATAGTTTAGTTCAATAATGTAAAATGGTTTTATAAGACCTCTTATGGGCTTTTGAACAATAATTAACAATGACTTGATGTCATTTATAATATACATTTCAAAGGTAAAACAATTGATAACAATGCGTTTTTAAGATTTAAAACCATTTCATTGCATCACATTTTGTAGTATGTGAAATCTATTAAATGACAGACACTGTTATAAAATACATAACAATGATTTAATAACATGTTTGTTTCTACTTGTATTCCCCCCCCCCTTTAAAGCATTTAAAATCATTTAAAACATTGATTAGGGGTATGAACTCACTTGTAGTTGGTGATTGGAATGAAATGAACGGTATTGGATGGCTAGTAGTCAAGCGAGGACTTGTGAACACACTACGATCCTAATGAACATATACTCACACATATATGCACTCAATTAGACGCAATTGAGTAATTGATAATGTTTAAGACATCCTAGGCATAATAAACACTTTATATAAGTGTTTTAAGCCATAAGGATTGCATCTAAGCTATTATGGGACAGGGTATTTGTGTTTAGGGTTTCCAAAGGACCCCATATGAGAGTTTACTCTCTATAAACCATCACACATGGAGTTTACGGTTGTAAACTCTTGAGTTTACGGCTTGTAAACTCCCAAACATGTGTGTTTGGTGTGTTTTGAAGTCCCAAATGCTTTCTAGAATTGTTCTAACTTAGTGGCTAAGTCCTTGGAAGGATTTAAGGTCCAGAAGTACTCCAATTAGGAGTTTACGGCCTCAAGGCCATTTCCCTTAGAGTTTACGGCTGTAAACTCTAAGTATGGTGGGTTTTTGTTGTTTTCAAGTCTCTTGCATTTGAAGGATATGTTCTAGGGCAATTGTTTAAAGCTAATGAGAACCCTAGGCACACTTTGGTGCCTTTCTTTTGAGTTTACGGCCCAAGAGCATTCTCTTGGCCGTAAACTCACTTTGATGAGTGATTTTTATGTACTTTGGTTCTTCATTTTTGTGGGAAACAATTCCATGAAGGGGTCTAGGGCTTTAGGTGTCTTGAAGACACCCTTTTGTCCATTTCAATGGAGTTTACGGCCTAAGCTTCTCTTGGGCCGTAAACTCACTTTTGTTTGTGTCATTTGATGTGTTTAAGACCTTGTTCTACTTGGGGAAATAGTCTAGATACAAGCCTTTAAGTCCTAGTGTCCTCAAAACACCATTTAGTGTTGGAAAATGTGGAGTTTACGGCCTTAGAGGGTTCTGGGCCGTAAACTCCCAATCTTGGGTGGATTGTGGCTTGTTTTCCTGTCCCTAACATGCATACATAAACATATAAGGCCTTATCATAACACAAGTATCGGTTTTGGCTTCGTTTCGGGAGTTTACCGCTCAAGAACACCTCGAGGTGTAAACTCCTAGATTTCATGTTTTAGCCTTCTAAAACATGTTATAGACACGTATAAAGCTTTCTAACAATACTATAAAGAGTTACTCACGTTTTGGTATAAAAACCCAAAGATCCGTCAGAGAGAAAATGGCTTTTCTCTAGTCGGAAATGTGAATAATGAATGATTTTGGTTTGGAAATCTATTTATAGTCCTGAGATATTTTGGCAGAAAATATTTTTATTCCTGAAATGATCCCTAATAAATTAGAGTGTTGGAATAACAGTGTTGCACCAAACCCAAGTGCACCCACTCTCCTGATATTTCCTGAAGTGTAAACCCTGAATTTCTCAAACTTACGCGAAGAGTCTGAAAATTAACTGTGACTGCTACAACTTCTATTGAAGTGATATAGTTTGTACAGAATGGAAATTTCAGGTTGTCACATCATCCGCCTGTTAGAAGGAATTTCGTCCCGAAATCAGAATTTACGAAAATAAGAAACTACAAATAATTAAGCGAAAAGGTGAGGGTATTTCAATTTCATCTGATCCTCACGTTCCCAAGTGAATTCCGGTCCACGCTTTGCGTTCCAGCGCACCTTCACTATCGGGATACGGCTCTGTTTTGTTTGCTTGACCTCTCGGTCCATGATCTCTACTGGTTCCTCCACGAAGTTGAGGCTCTCGTTGATCTCGATCTCGTCGAGTGGAATAACAAGAGTCTCGTCGGATAGACACTTTTTCAAGTTCGAGACGTGGAAGGTAGGATGTACGTTACTGAGTTCTTGCGGTAGATTGAGTTTGTAAGCTACAGGGCCGATTCTCGCAAGAATATCAAAAGGCCCTATGTATCTTGGATTGAGCTTCCCACGCTTTCCAAAGCGTATCATGCCCTTCCAGGGTGAGACCTTCAGTAGGACTCGGTCGCCCACCTGGAACTCCAAAGGTTTCCTATGCTTGTCAGCGTAGCTTTTCTGTCGGTCTCTAGAGGCTTTCAATTGATTACGAATTTGAACGATCTTCTCTGTTGTTTCCCGAATGATTTCCGGACCCGTGAGAGTGCTTTCGGGAACTCGTCCCTTAGCTAACTGGGTATCACCCACTTCAGCCCAGCACAGGGGGGACCTGCACTTTCGGCCATAGAGGGCCTCGAATGGAGCTGCCTTTATGCTCGTGTGATAACTGTTGTTGTAGGAAAATTCGACTAGGGGTAAATGAGTATCCCAAGCTTTTCCAAAGTCAATCACACAGGCACGCAACATATCTTCTAAGGTTTGGATAGTCCTCTCACTTTGCCCGTCGGTCTGTGGATGGTAGGCTGTACTCATGTCCAGCCTAGTTCCTAGGGAACTTTGTAATGACTGCCAGAACCTCGATGTGAATCTACTATCTCGGTCCGAGATGATAGATAAAGGAACACCGTGCAGCCTTACAATCTCCCTAATGTAAGTTCTGGTAAGTTTCTCCATCTTGTCTGTTTCTTTGATCGGTAGGAAGTGTGCAGACTTGGTCAGTCTATCGACGATGACCCATATGGAATCAAGTCCACCCGTCGTCTTGGGCAACTTGGTTATGAAGTCCATAGTGATCCGCTCCCACTTCCATTCTGTATTTCCGGTTGTTGTAGAAGACCGGAGGGTTTCTGGTATTCGACCTTGACCTTTTGCGCAAGTAAGGCATTTACTCACGAAGGTAGCAATATCTGCTTTCATGTTAGGCCACCAGTATAGCTTTTTAAGATCCAGATACATCTTATCTGAACCCGGGTGGACGGAATAACGAGTGTTGTGGGCTTTGGTCATGACCAAGTCTCTGAAGCCACCGTGTTTCGGTGTCCAGATCCGATCCATGAGGTATAAGGCTCCGCCACCCTTGACTTCCAAGTTCTTATCCATCCCTCTAAGGGATTCACCAGCCACGTTTTCAGGTTTCAAAGCGTCGAGCTGAGCCTCCTTAATTTGCGTGGACAAGTGTGAATGGATAGTTAGAGTCAAAGATTTGACTCTACGACCAGTATATTCTTTCCGACTTAGGGCGTCGGCTACTACATTGGCTTTACCCGGATGATAACGAATTTCACATTCGTAATCGCTGAGTAGCTCGAACCCACCGTCGTTGTCTCATGCTGAGCTCTTTTTGGTCGAAAATGTGTTGTAGACTCTTATGGTCCGTAAAGATCGTGCTTTTTGTACCATATAGGTATTGTCTACAGATCTTCAGAGCAAAACACAACTGCTCCTAGTTCAAGATCGTGGGTTGTGTAGTTAACCTCATGTGACTTCAGCTGTCTCGAGGCATAGGCGATGAATTTACCTCGCTGCATCA